TTTCTGTATTCCTGCATAGAAATGGTCTTGTCAGATTTATAATGTATATTTTCCTCTAGGCCATTTTTGAATGGTCCAGAGGAGTCCACAAGTCCTGAGGAGGGCCAGAAGCTCTCCTATGAAGGCAGTCTGAGAAAGCTATGCTTGTTCTGCCTGGAGAAGCAAAGGCCTCAGGAAAACCATACAGCAGTCTTCCAGTACCTAAAAGGGGGCATACAAGAAAGACAGAGAGGGACTTTTTATCAGGGCATGTAGGGACAGGACAAGGGAGAATGGCTTTAAACTGAAAGAGGGGAGATTGTGATTGTGTATTAGGAAGAAATTCTTCACTATGAGGGTGCTGAGGCACTGGCACGGGTTGCTCAGAGAAATTGTGGATTCCCCATCCCTGGCAGTGTTCAAGGCCAGGCTGGATGGGGCTTCGAGCAACCTGGTCTAGTAGAAGGTATCCTGACCGTGGCAGGGGGTTGGAACCAAACGATCTCTAAGGTCCCTTCCAACCCAAGGCAATATGATTCTATGAGTTTATGGTTCTATGATTCTATGAATAACTATTTTTGCTTGATGTCAGTACAGCATGAATATAATGCCAGTTTTTCATCTTTGGGCCCTCATGAAAGTATATAAAAAATAGAAATGAGTAGCACAGCCAGAGTTTGAAATAATGCTCTGGAGATCTTGATGAGGTAGAGAAAATTGTATCCTGAAAGTTGCTGATGCTGGAACAAATGACATTATGAAACATGTCATTTTCACCAAAGCCATTAGCTAATCGCTTTTTCAAACATTTATTACATTCTGTTCCCAGACTGTCAATACTGAGAATCAATCATTTACTTTACGGCGGCTTTAGGAGCAGACTAGCTTTGTAATAAGAATTGCATGGAAATTGTATCCATTTAAGCTCTTGAAATTCAACAGTACCTCTCCCTAAGTATCTGATGAGACAGGATTGAGTCCATAACTGAAAAACAGCAGTCAAGGTTTATGTCACATACTGCTATTTAAAACCCATTTATTGCTCAAAAATTATTCAATTAATAAGATTAGTAATCCCAAAGTAGTGCCTTACATTTGGCCTACCAGTGATGTCAGCATTGCTGATATCACCTGAAAATGAAGAGCAGCAAGGTATAAATCCTTGGTTTGAAAGCAGAAAAGAAATTGCCACATGGTACTCCCTGAGGCTGTCCTTGTAGCATGCACAGATCACCTGAATGATTTTGCAAATTCCATTCATCTTAGTAGATAAAATAGCTCAGATTTGTGTTTGCTTTTTTTATCTAATCACAGTATGGTTGATGGTCTGAGCATGTTGTTTACTCTATTTTTATACAAGGAAGTGGGGGCACAAGGGGAAATACGAGTACTGATAACAGTTGCTCCAAACTGGGTCAAAAGCACCACTGGGAAAAACCTGATTTCATATCCTTGATGCACTGGAGAATTCTTCCATTCCTTGGGTCTGATCCAAAGCAGGAGGACAACTTTGCTGGAGAGCTACTTTAGTAATTACAAGGGGGAAAAAAAAGAGGTAGAAGTTTACGATTTTTGGACTTCTACTTCCAGACTAACGTAGCACTGGCAACTTAGTTCTCTCCTCATGTAAATTGATGAAAGCAGGTAAAGAGTTCCTGAATATTCATTCTAGCTCTTGCCTATCTGATAAATAAAGGTGATATCGTAAGGTGGGCATAACAAAATGCAGTCACATTGCTGCTGTGCCCTCTTCTAGAAAACCTGTCTGGATGAAATAAATCTTTCCTTGTATGGATATCTTGCCATGTCCTAAAGTTTTCTCAACATTTAAAGGATAGAGTGAGGTATAAAAAGAATAGATAGATAGATAGATAGATAGAGATACAGATGTATTTGTAGATATATAGATTAGATTAGATATAGATATAAATAGGGTTAGAGATATATGAAGGAATTTGGTTTCCCATTCAGAAAGGTCTAAATAGAGTTCTTTGCAATAACTTTCCACTTAATATCATAATAAAGTAAGACAATATTTCTAACTACCAGCTCTACAATTAAGTAGCTGCCTAATAAATCAGATCAGGGGTAGAGCAGTTGATGTCATCTACCTGGACTTGTGTAAAGCGTTAGACACTGTCCCACACGACATTCTTGTCTCTAAATTGGAGAGACATCAATTTGATAAATGGACCACTCGGTGGATAAAGAACTGGCTGGATGGCCACACACAAAGAGTTGTGGTCAATGGCTCAGTGTCCGGCTGGAGATCAGTAACTAGAGGTGTCCCTCAGGGATGGGTGTTGGGACCGGTCTTGTTTAACATCTTTGTTGCTGACATGGACAGTGGGATTGAGTGCACCCTCAGCAAGTTTGCCGATGACACCAAGCTGTGTGGTTCGGTTGATATGCTGGAGGGAAGGAATGCCATCCAGAGGGACCTTGACACGCTTGTGAGGTGGGCTGATGCCAACCTCATGAAGTTTAACCATGCCAAGTGCAAGGTCCTACACAGGGGTCGGAGCAATCCCAGGCACAGCTACAGGCTCAGCAGAGAAGAGATTCAGAGCAGCCCTGCGGAGAAGGACTTGGGGGTGCTGGTCGATGAGAAAATGAACATGAGCTGGCTTCAGTGTGCGCTCGCAGCCCAGAAAGCCAACTGTATCCTGGGCTGCACCAAAAGGAGTGTGACCAGCAGGTTGAAGGAGGTGATCCTGGCCCTCTACTCTGCTCTCGTGAGACCACACTTGGAGTATTGTGTGCAGTTCTAGTATCCTCAACATAAAAAGGACACGGAACTGTTGGACCAAGTCCGGAGGAGGGTCATGAGGATGATCAGGGGACTGGAGCACCTCCCATATGAAGATAGGCTGAGAAAGTTGGGGCTGTTCAGCCTGGAGAAGAGAAGGCTGCGTGGAGAACTCATAGCAGCCTTCCAGTATTTGAAGGGGGCCTATAGGGATGCTGGGGATGGACTCCTCATTAGGGACTGTAGTGACAGGACAAGGGGTAATGGGTTAAAACTTAAACAGGGGAAGTTTAGATTGGATATAAGGAGGAAATTCTTTCCTGTTAGGGTGGTGAGGCACTGGAATAGGTTGTCCAGGGAGGTTGTGAATGCTCCATCCCTGGCAGTGTTCAAGGCCAGGTTGGACGAAGCCTTGGGTAATATGGTTTAGAGCGAGGTGTCCCTGCCCATGGCAGGTGGGTTGGAACTTGATGATCTTATGGTCCTTTCCAACCCTAACTATTCTATGATTCTATAAAGGGCAACATGGGCCACTGTGTGCTTAGGGCAACTGTTTGGTTTTATGTAAAATGTTAGTGGTTAAAAATGTGAAGACAGGAAAACACTACTGCGTTGCCAGCAAGGGTATAAACTGCTAGCTTCCCTTTGATTGACATTATCTACAGATTCACCTGGGAAAATGTATTAGCTGTGAAAGGAAGAACAGAATTTGATCTTGCTATATATCGTTCTTACTGTATTTTTCAGACTCCTGATCCTGTGTGTGCTGGCACAAGAAATATTGCTATCAATTTATAGGAAGTGTCGTATAATTTATTGAGTTGTTGAAATTTCTCTCATCTCAAACAACTGCCAGTTTTCTAATCTATGAATATTAAAAATGCAGCTCATGGAAAGTGATCAGTGTGACAGATATGTGATAGATTCATACAGGATTTGTCCTGTGTCTGTTGGTTTCTGTGAGGTTCATTACCCTTGCATCAGTGAAGCAAGCATTTCAAACTCTCCTCTATGTGTGCATTTTAAGCATCAAGCATAAAACCATTCAATCCTGATTCTCTACCTCATTACACATGTCTACTGACATTTAGACGTGGAGAAGCATGTATTACATTTTCTGAAGCTGAATGATTGACTTCTATCTACTGTGCACTCTGTTTGGATTATCCTGAAGGCAGGATTCACTGGAGAGCAAGACCCCCAGCTATTTTTGACACTGTTTTTGTCTAAGATGACTGTCAGTGAAAAGGTGCTTTACTGAACTGTTGATGGTTTTAGGCCTCATGAACAAACAGCAGCATGAGTCTGCTTTAGGATACATACTATTGCCATCACAGTGCTGTTTTGCCTCCATAATTCATCCGTCACAATGCTTACCTGTCAGGGCAGCATTTTGGCAGCTGCTTGCCTGGATCTAACAAAGAGGCCAGGTGGAAAGTCTGTGTCTTTTTCTGCTGTCCTCCTCCTGTGTTGGGGCAGTGATAATTTGCTTCTATCCAGAAGAAGTCACACTGTGGCATTGTTTCTAAGACTAAGAAAGCCTCAAAAGAGGATTATATTATTACCAATTTGTTTAATAGTGGACTGTGTTATCTAGACTTCAGGGTTCCCTAATTTTGACTTACACATTGCCCTACATACCTAGTAAATGAATCTGTAAGTCTATACACAGAAAGATTTTATCCCTTTTTTTTCCTGGCATCACTCAGGAGATATTTCATGTGCCCACAGTTACAGGGTGTTAACTCCAGGGAGGAGGCAGACCAAACAGTATGAGAAATGCATGAGCAATACTTTTTGCTGTGGTGGGACTTGAAAAGACAAAAAAGGAGACAGCAGAGAGCCAGCCTAAAACCTGGGAGCATGTCCTGCAGCAGGGCATGTCAGCAGGATGATTCAGCCTTTCTAACTGTGCTCTGCCCCATCACAGAAGCAGACAGTACAGGTGCTAGTTAGCACATTGTTTTCTGTGCTGTTTCCCTGTGGATCTGGACTAGCATCATCGACTCTCATTACAGAGCAAGCTAAGAGACATAGGCTGCCATGGACACAGGGAAAACCTGAAAAAACACGAGGTAGTATGGAGAGGCTGATCCCTTTAATTGCACAAAGAAATTAAATTAGCTTCTCTTTCATGCTCTGGTTTTGAAAGAACAGCACACTTGAGCTGAAACGTGCCTGGCTTGAATGCAGAATTCACATGTGTATGTTTGTCCAATGTATCTTCCAAAGTGGTTCCTTTCTTTCTTTTTCTTTCTTTTTTTTTCACCAGAAAGAAACACCACTTGCCAATGCTGCATTTTGGGCTGCGAGAAAAGGAAACCTGGCTCTCCTCCAGCTGCTGATGAACAGTGGGCGAGTAGATGTGGACTGCAAAGACAGTGTATGCACATGAGGCACCTACACCCTGGGCACTGATTTTGCATCACTTTCCATAGCCCGCTGTGCAGAGGGTGTGGCAGGCATCTAACAATAGGCATATAAGAGTCTTATGGCACTTAGGGATGATTTAAAACCTTATCTTGTCAGGAAGCCAGTTTGAAGCTGAAGATAAAATGGCATGATGATTTACATCAATGGCAAGGGGTGAGGAATTTGCCAGCACTCAAAAATGTGTCTTACACAGTTATTTGTGGTGCTGACATTAAAAGCACAGATCCTAACACCTCGGGCTTCTCTTTGCAAGGAAATGTCATTATAGTAATAGATCACAGTGAAGAGTCAACTCAGCTAAGCCCAGGTAGCAATGATTCTGTCAGCTTGCAAAGCTCCTCATAATTAGAGGAATTACTGGCCTCCTAACTGCTGATCCTCCCCCACCCCAGTATCTCCTGGACTTGGCACCAAGGCCAAGCAAAGAGTAGCACAGTCACATGGGAGATAGATTTCATGGGGATTTCCTTACTGTAATTGGCATGGGTTGAAATCACTTTTGAGATTAGAAATGGAGTGAAAACACAGATACGTCTTGCTATTCTGCCTAGGGTATATGGAGAGGTACTTGATTGTACTGTGGCAAAGAGCAGGGGAAAGCTGAGATTGAGAAATTCCCAGGTTTCTATTGTTTGGAGCTGGGCCTGGCTTACTGGGAGTTGTGTCTGTGTTGCACAGGATTATTGTTCACATTTCCAGCCTGAAACATGAACCTGCCACAACCTCTCTTACTTTGAATATCTTAAAAGTGCAAAAGATTTTCTAAGCCCATTGACTTCAACCCATCTTTTAATTTTAGTTTCATTTTTACCCTGTAGGCAAGTATTTGTCCTGCACTACTTCTGGAGGTGATGCTATGGCTGTCTTTCTGACAGGAAGGGAAGGATGTTCGGATAGGGAATGAAGTAAGCAGGACAGATCGATGTAAAGAAATAAGGTCCATCACTCCTTGATCTTTCTTAAAAGAAGGCTAACTTTAGTAAAGATTTTTTACAATGCACTGTAAAATATCTGCCTTATCCATTCTATCAGGTATACACATTTTCTAGATTATAATATTCTGGTATGATTAAGGCTGCATGCTTCTTTTTTGAAACATACATTCCTTCTTTATGTGTGAATTGTTTAGAGGATAAGTTTCATCCCTAGGCATGTGGTTTCTGTGAGTTGTCTGCAGACCATATATATATAACCTAAATCTTACCTGGTTCATGGAAGTAGTGACCTTACGGTGTACTGTGGGAACTTCAACACATAGTTCTGGTATGGAAAGTTCTCTCATATAAAGTGAAAAGATTACTCTCATCATTTGGATAGGGAATTAGTATTCAAATCACCCAGACCTTGCTCCTGACTGACTCAGAATTAAGTGACTCAGCTAAGTCACTCAGCTCCTGTGTCTAAGTTTATTCTCCTGGAAATGATGCAAAGATCTTTGGGATTCTCTGATAAAAATGCTGTGCATAAACCAAAAACATTCTTGTTACCCTTGTTTCACTTATTTTGGGACAATAAGGCAAAGTCATTGCATACATATTTGTTGAATGGTCAGGCCTTAGCACTGCAGACAAGTCTGTAATGTTTTTGCTTTAACACCCACTAATTGCTCATTTTCAAAGTATTCTTGATAGCAAGCTTTAAATTATAGCAAATTTTTCAATTATCATAAGCTTCTTTCAGCTTTTCAGAAGAGGTGGTGCTGTCTCTTCCATTCAGCCTGATTAATTGCTGAAGGTGTCTGTAGAAGGTACTGACTTGTTTTTCCTTATTCCCAGCTTGGCACAACAGCTCTGATGGTAGCATCTTACTATGGCCACAAAGACTGTGTACGGGAATTGGTGTTGCAAGGAGCAGATATCAATCTGCAGAGAGAGGTAGGAGAAGTTCTGCATTCAAACAGGGATTAAGTGACCGTTGGCTTATTACAAATAATAAGAGTGTTGTAGTGTTGTCTGCTGCTTTTTTTGCCAGTTGCTTCTGTGTTACTTGCATGTATAAACAGGGTCTGTTCTGAGGACATCAAGGAATCAGATGTCTGGATTTTATAATAGGAAATGAGATGCCAGAGGAACATATATAAATAATTCATCACACATTTCCAGCACATCTGGTTGGTGAGGGTCAGTTACATCTGAGATGTAACTCCAGGGTTACACCGTTAATGCATCTGCAGTTTTACTTATCAGCACAGTAACTTACAGCTCTCCAGATGAGACATCCTTTACCACTCGATTTTCAGAGTCCAGTCATTAAAATGGAATGGATGTCATTACTAGCCTGGGGATTATTTTGGCTCACTATGTTTTGGAGTTTCTGCCTTTTGGTCTGAGCCAACTCATCTCTAACAATCCCACAGTTTAATCACCTGTACCCTTCCTTGCAACTTTGCTTTGCCTTCAAGGCATCTCTTGCACCATGCTTGCTTGTGGCTGCCTTAGGGAAGCTGCCTTCCCCTCGTACTCCACACAGATGTTTGTAAGGAGTACCTGCAGCTGCTCTGGTCTGTGTGCTGTATATGCAGAGAGCAGAATGGCTCTGGGACAACAACAGTTGTACTGGTCCTAAGAGCAGAGCAGTTTAAGGAGGGCATGCAGTAACATGGGAAGGCGGCTGGTAGTGCAGGACAGCAGTATGTTTGTTGCTTTAACAATACAAGCCAATGTTTCTCACTTTCCTTGGAAACCTGGAACCAGAGAATTAATCTCATGCTGACACCTGCAAGTTACTGAGTCAGTGAATGCTGTGTTCGATGATAAGAGTGTCTTTGCACTTACTGGCCTAAACTTGCTCTAACCATGAATGTCAGTGTCTTTCAGGGGGGTCCTGTTCCAGCAAAACTTGCATTTAAACATGTCCCTTCCCTTAGGTAAACACTGCTTGAAAAGCAGGGACAAAAGGAAAAGTTGAGAACAGTTTTATGGGGCTGCTCTTGAGTATTGCTCAGGATGTAGTGATTCAGCAAGCCAACAAAAAGAAACCCTGAAATCCTCCAAAATTACTCTGTTGCAGAAAAGAAGCAACACGGATGACGTTTAAGCCCTAAAGACAAATGGCACTGTTTTGAAACTAAATTCAATCAGTAGCTTAACCAGTGCTCTTGTACTCTGAAGGTGTTGTGAAGCTTAGGGAAGTGAAAGCCCCATAGATGTGTCTGGAAGAGGAGGCTCTGAAATGGTGTCAAGAGACCTATTGTAAAGGCATTAGACATTGGAGTGAATTTCATGTGGAATAGGTGTTGGGTTCAAATTAGCTGTTCCTGTTAGGCAGGATTGTTCTTTTCTCACTCTGGGCTTTTTTTCCCTATCTGGTGACTGAGTAGAAGTTACTAAATCCTAAGAGGTCTATACGAGTAACTGTGCAGAAGCCCCTTACGATATTTGGATTTTATTCAAATATACAATGATGGACAGATTTCTCAGTGCAATAGGAGTAGAACTGACCTAAGATACCTGGTGTCCTCAGAAGTCTTTTCAGCTGATATGGAATAGATTGTGAATACTTTTAGATTTGAAAGTGTCTAATGTGTTTTGGGGTTTTTTTAATCCATTTTATTCCTTACAGTCCGGTGCAACTCCTCTGTTCTTTGCTGCACAGCAAGGCCACAACGATGTAGTGAAGTTTCTCTTTGAATTTGGAGCCTCTACTGAATTTAGGAATAAAGTAAGATGATGGGTCTGGTTTTGCATGCTGATACATTCCAACAATCAAGGCTTTTTTTCCTGTTCACATGAAACATGACATGGCAGCAGGAGGATGATAAAAGGATTTCCTCTCTTGAATATTTTCTGCATAATATGTGTAAAACAATATGTTGTGAAAATATTAACTTGGAGCTAGCTTCTGTTACCTAGAATTAATGGCTTAAGTTGATCAAAGGTCAGTCCCTTGATAGCGATAGTTGATAGTCTTTATTCTCAAGCCATCCTACAGTGCAAGAGGAAAAGGTCTTCTTATACATGTTAGGTAGGATCCCATTTTAGGTGTATATGTACAACTTGCAAAGAATGGAATATCATCTATTTCGGGATGTCTCTGGGTGCTACCATAGGATGCTTAAAAGCATAATGGCTTGGGTCCTCCCTAAATTCCTATTTACCCATCTGTGCCAGGATGAAATGCACCTCAGAGCTTGTATTTATTTGTTCATGTCAATCCTTTTACAAAATCTTCTCAGGATAGCCGGAAGCACAGATGGTAGAGCCTGGGTTGGTTCATCCCCTGTTGTGGGGTGAACAGCTTCAATTCATCACTGACATCAGTGTATCAATTCAGTTTCTGTGTCCAAAGCAGTACTAGAACCTCTGCTTTCAGCAAACAGAACCAAACCCAGTATATTTTCATTACATATGCTTGTTCTTGATACACTGGCCACATTGGAGCATCCCAATAATTTGCAAAGGCACTTGCCACTCACTTACCCTGGGATCCACAGCAATGTGTTTAAAGAAGGAATAGTTCTTTACCCCACAGCAATCAAACCTTAAAGATGTTATAGTCTGTGATTTGAATTACTCCTTTGAAATTGTTTGATCTTTCATAACAATTTATGAGCCTTATGAAGCATGCAAAATATACTGACATGAGTCAGTAGGGCAGATAAAAGGGAGTAAAGATCTAAATTAAAACAAAGATATTCCTGCATTCTGATGCTCCTAATGGCTTCAGGCTTTGGACAAATGCGGGTTTGGGCTCTACTGTTGCTCACCTTGAAACTTTTCTCCCAGCCCCCATATTCCTGGCTGCCTCTTCTGAATTTATATCTGACATGGCCCATGTGCCAGTCCTAAGTACCTTTTGAACTACTTTTTAAGCACTCAAAGTATGACACAAGCTATTGTGCCTGAAAAAGCTCATACTATCTGAGCAAAGGATAGCGGAGTTAAAATAATCTGTGCAAGATCAAAGTGACACTGGTTTGGGGGGGTTGTGGAGTCTCCCACATTGGAGATATTCAAGGCCCGCCTGGACAAGTTCCTGTGTGATGTACTCTAGGTTACCCTGCTCTTGCAGGGGCGTTGGACCAGATGATCTCTCCAGGTCCCTTCCGATCCTTGGGATTCTGTGACGAGTTGAGGTTAGCTATCATGTCATGCTCTCTTTAATGAAAGGGCCTGCTCTCTCTCAACAGTGACATGAGGGCTTTGCTAGATTCATCATTAATGCTGGGCTCTATCCTGGAAATTGTCATGTTCATACTTTCACTCATCCCTTGCTTGGGAACTGCAGCTTTCTTCCGAAGTAAGGACCTAGACACAGGAATACAAATACTTAGAGCTTCCAGACTTGGCTTTGGTAACCCACCAAAGTTTTAGGCTGAGGCTTGCTGGGAAGCTAACTTGTACTTTGTGCAGCAGTGTGTACCTGAGCAGGAGGCTCCACTGAGAAGGTGTGCATTGAGAGTGTGCATCTTCCACTGGCCTTCGAGTGTGGTTTTGTATCTGTTCTATTTTCCTATTTAATAATGTGTTTTCCATAGCTTGGAATTATTCCATCAAACCATCCTTCTGTTAAAAGGTGACTACGATAATAAGCTCCTCCATCCCCTCCAAACCCAGAAACAATATAGCTGACAAAATATGCCTTTTCAGGTCAGACATATGGCATTTTCCGATTAAAGTGCTCAGCTAGGAGCAGTGCTGGAAAAGATATAGCTGATCCTGGCTGGTTTTGAAGGGCACTGCAATCAATCTATCTGCAAAGAGCTTTCTATTATAAATGAAGAGATGGAATGGAAATAAGGAATAAATTGAATGCAATCTAGGAAACAGACTTTAAAGCAATTAAATGCAAAGCCCAACAATTTCTTTTTCATGTACCTCTCTGTAAATTGTAATTATTACACTCATTACTCATATACAAGAGCACTGGAGAACTATCTTACTATAGGCACTCGATTTTTGTTACACCTTGTATCATTAGAGTTGGTATTCACTACAGCAGGCAAACCAAACATCCTAAAACAGTGTAATAAAATAACTATCAATAATTGCTGATATTATAAAGAGAATAAATAGTAATATTGAAGGTTATTCTATATATATTATAGAATACATATTATTCAATAATATTATTCTGCACTGTCTCAGTCTGACACCCCTAGAAGTATGCATCATAAATAGAAGCATGTTCTCTTTACTTAGTCTGAGACATGCAATAAGCATGTGGCTTCTTACAAGGGTTTGCATAGTGGCATGTTTTCTGAGCCATAGTGCATGTTCAGCAGTATGTCAGAGGCTATTTTTCAGCAGGCAGTGATCGCAGAAGATCAGTTCCCCTCCCTTGTAGTATATTTCAGAGACAGAAATAAAAACCATATTAATTCTAATTTACTTCCAGGCAATGATGATAGAGGTGAGGGAAGAAGTAGGAAAACAGGGAATTCTACACCAAATAGCATGGTCTTATTAGGTGATACTCTTCCAAGCATTTACATGGGAGGTTGGCAGCTGCAGTATGTGCCACCTGTAGGGATGACAGACTGTGTGGGGATAAGGAAAACTATTTCAGAGAAAGAATTACAGAGGTAGCTGAGAGAACAGAGAGAACTGGCTCTTATTTGAGCTGGAAGGGTTTGCAGTGAAGGATTAATAGAGGCTACACTATGTCAGTAAAACAGGATATGAGCAAGGAATAAACCTAAGGTGATGTGCATTCTCTAGGCTGCAACACCAGCCCCTGCCTGCTGCAGAAATGTGACTGCCTCAGAAGTGCCTCTATGGTTCCTCACGTGTCCTTGCTCCCACTTTCTGCCCTGCTCTCAGAGTTTCCAAGAGGCGTGCCAGTACCAAAGATGCTGCTTCAGCTTTTTACTTGTCTCAGCTAAAGCAAAAAAGGAAAGAGGGCATCACATGGCTGAAAGGGATGTTAAAACTCTGTCATTTACTTTTTTTGTTTTTATTCATAACTCATCTGTCTTCCCTATGGCCTACCAGGAGGAAGCTCTTTTCTGTAAGGATGTTGAGGCACTGGAATGGGTTGCCCAAGGAAGCTGTGAATGCTCCATCCCTGGTGGTGCTCAAGGCCAGGTTGGACAGAGCCTTGGATGACATGGTTTAGTGTGAGGTGTCCCTGTCCATGGCAGGGGGGCTGGAACTTGATGATCTTAAGGTCCTTTCCAACCCTAACTATTCTATGATCCTATAAAACACGGGGGTCTCCAGACAGAGCCTGCTGGAGGAAAGTGTAAGGTAAAGTAAGATGGAAGTTTGATATGGGGGAGAAGGGGCTGAATTTTCCTCCTAAGAAACCATGGGCTTTCGCACTGTTTGACAGCTTTTTTATTTATCTGAGTGCTGTCTTACCACATGGTCAGTGGAAAAGATTCCTAGCTTTGACTTCTCTTTCTTGCAGAAAGACCTATCTCTGCTTATCATAGTGGCACCCTCACCCAGAGTGTGCAAATAAAATCACAATCTTTTCTGCTGAAAGTATTCAACTTCATAGGAGACATGCAGTAGAGCAGGTCTTAGATACCAAGGAGCTGTTACTTAGTTCTTTCTGACCCAGTATATATTTGATTCAGGGTGGACAGCACGAACTGGGGACCCTCCAAAGCTTTTTTCTGATCTCCAAACTCTAATCAGGGTGATGGAGAAAACTTGGTTGCTGTAGTCTGAAAGATCTAAAAGGTGTATTTTGGAAATGTGTCCCTCTCTAAAAAAATGTATCCATCTAAAACTGTTCAATGGATTTAACCAAACACTTGGTTAGGATCACCATTTGGAGACACCAAGTATATCCTGTGAGAAGTGTCTTCCTTCTTAAACTTCAGGCTGTATGATTTCTCAAAGTGAGATCACACAATTGGACTCCCAGGTGTTGGCCTTCAGCTCTGCTGTGCTAACTGTGGCTAGCTTTGCAGGCCTGCTTTTTGGCTGGGACCTGTTATTTGGTTCCTTCCAGAACTTATGTTAATAACCAAACAATCTTCTCAAAATAACAGGAATTTGTTGAGCACACACTAATTTTTAGAAAGCAAAAAACTAAACCATAAAGCAATAGTGATAGGACAAGGGGTAATGGGTTCAAACTTAAACAGGGGAAGTTTAGATTGGATATAAGGAGGAAATTCTTTCCTGTTAGGGTGGTGAGGAACTGGAATGTGTTGCCCAGGGAGGTTGTGAATGCTCCATCCCTGGCTGTGTTCAAGGCCAGGTTGGGCAAGGCCTTGGGTGATATGGTTTAGAGCGAGCCCATGACAGGGGGGGTTGGAACTTGATGATCCTAAGGACCTTTCCAACACTAACTATTCTATGATTCTATGAATTAACAAACTATTCCCACGTGCAGCTGAGTGTGTCTACCCTCCATACAGGGAACCTCAATATTTTTAAGCTTCCTAAAAATCATCCTTCTCTGCCTCTCCACAGAGGACCTCCAATCTGGATAGAACAGTTTCTCTTCTTAACTCACTGACTTTTCTCTCTCCATTTCATTCAGGGAAAGAGTCTTTGAAAATGTCTATTTTGTTTGTAGCCCTTTGATCTGGTAATTCACCACTGGAGCAAAGTGTCTTTCAGCTGGTTGGAGACAAGAAATAGGTTTCACAAAGCTATTAGTTTTTGCCATTGTCTTTAAGTCTGTATAAAGCATTTCTTCAATTCAGAAGCCTCTGTGGTTGCTTGTGTGTTTTGTTTCAGCAGTTCCTGTTAAATTAGGATAGTTCAATTTGACAGGAAGGTCTAATGACACATTGTAGCTACAGAGTAACTTAACTCCATCGACCTGATTACACATTATAGTTACTCAAATAATTTAGAATCAATATGCAATTCTTAGATTGTTGTATAAGAGCTTCATATCTGTGACTTTGTTGACATTCAAGCCTCATTTGCTTTTCAGCGTCACAGGGAAGGAAGGATGAATTTGAGAGCAGTTATATACAGTCCCTATGGGTTAGCTCAATCATGTCAGAGCTTGAGTTTTCATGAGGTTATTGTAGGCATGAAATAGCACCACAGATTAATAAACTTGATTGGCACTTCCCATTATAAAAGATCCATTTGGCTGTTCAAGCTGTAACTTCTCTTGTGGATATCTGTCTGTGTGGAAAATTTCAGACAAAACTTTGGAGCTGTTTCAGAGAACAAAGCTGAGGGAAAACACAGTCTTCTGCCTACGTTAATGACAGCTGTAGAAACCATTTATCTGAAATACTTCAGATAGCTTATCTTGTGGAGGAGGGACTTGAGACTGGGAGAAGGCAGGGAAGGAGAGAGAAGACCTCTGGTGAAGATGACTAGGGGTGTGCCTCATCTTTGCACAATGGTATGATGCCATCCCAGGCAGAAGATAAGAACTTCCTCTCAATATTAGTGTCAGAAATACTGGTAATTTTTGAGTGGGGAACAGTGCACTTAAGATGGCAAGACCAACTTTTGCTGTCTATCTCAGTTGTTTCAGCTGGCTTGGATTCAGTCGCCAGGACACTGAGGTGTTTCCCTTCTCAGATGGCTCCCAAGGGAGCATGTCTACAAGCAGGCTTCAATGCATGTGCCTAGGTCTCCCTTTAGTGGTGATGTGCAGCAACAAAACCGCCTGGGATTGATCCTACCTGCAGGGAGCTCACTTCTTCAGCAGAAGTAATGTGGCTTTCACTGGTGGTCATGTGTTTGGTCTGACTCTGGTCTAGTCAGCTAGCATGCTTCAAAATGCACCCTCTCTACTCTTCCTCAGGCCAACAATCAATAGGTTAGAGGCGGGAAACGACAGGGAGTGAAGGTCTGGCTAAAGAAATGATCAATAGGCTTGGAGCAGGGGAAAGGTGTGCTGTCCTTTAGTAGGTGGAACAGCTTGGCAGAGGATGGGATTTGGCTGTAAAGGGAAGAGACATGGAGGAGTTGTGAAGGAGACAAAACAAAGTTTCTAGGGGGAAAGCAGAAGATGAGGAACAAAAAGCAGAACAAAGAAGCACTATTAAAAAAAAAACTCAGGAGAAAACAGTTTATAGTGACAGAGCCAAGTTTAAAGATTTGCATGGCAAGACTTGGTACTAAACTTATGAAACATTCAGCAGCTAGTCACTACAGAACTGCTGTGAGCCAAATTCTGAAAAGCCATAAAATCTGCTTTTCTTTTTGTATGGTGATGTTTAGCCCAGCACCTGACTCTTACCTGACTACCCATTCTTTGCTTTTTCACAGGATGGAGGTACTGCACTTCTAGCTGCTTGTCAGTACGGGCATGCAAAAGTAGTGGAAACGCTGTTGAAGCATGGTGCCAACATTCATGATCAACTTTATGTGAGTTATTTGACACAGATAATATTGACAACACTGGTGATGGAACAAATGCGCTGTTGGTTGAACAACAGCAGATGGTCTGACTCCAGCACAGAGAAGCATTTGCCAGATGTGGTTTTATAGTACTCTTCTAAGATGTGAATTCTGTTAACTGTCTGCTTTTCGTGATCCTGGGAGAAGTAGTACGAAATCAGAAAAGACGTTTTGGATGTCTTTTGATTTGTTATCTCTATGAAGGATCAAATCTGGACCAGATCTATGTAATTCATTAGCCTTGAACAAAAGACCATGTCACGTCCTACCAATGATTTTCATTGCAGACAAAAGAGTGAACAGCAATACAGACCCTGAGGTACTAGAGTCAGATCATCAGTTTTCTGTCAGAAAGAGTAGTAAAAGTTAAAATATTTAAATCTTTACATATCTGTAAATTGTTTTTTAAAATATTAGTTAAAATTATGTTATTTGGTATTGGTGTATTTCTAGCTTGACAGTGTTTGCCCTCCAGGGCAAAGGATGGTTAAAATGGCTGAACTGATGTTGTTTAGTTGACTTTTCAGAAAGCGGGATTGAGCAAACGAAGCACTGGATTTAATTTACTGCAACTGAGACACAAAAACATTGAGTTTTTCAGCATTCAACAGAAACAAATGGTAGATTTTCTTTCCACTTCCCACTGCTCATTCCTACCCTGGGGCACTCAAAACTGACAAAGAAGAAGTTCCACAGGAATATAAGTTTTTTCAGCTTTTTCCAGGGGCTTTGGATCTGCAGGATGCTGTTGAAGTCTTAGCTCCCACAAGTGTGCATGGGAGCTAAGGGCTGGTGGCTGCAGAGGTCACTGGGGGCTGTGTACTAGACGCATAGGGGATCTCCACCTCTGTGCTGCCACCACCCTGTTACTTATAAAGAAAGGTGTTTCACCTGCACTGCTGTGCAAATAGCAGTTGCCTTTCTAGTCTGAGGACAGTGATTCATACCTCTGCACGGTAATCCTGGGGTTTACCACTCAGTTTAAAAATAGCCATGCTGACACACCTGCAGACACTTACCTAGAAGTAAAGGCAGTAAAATAACTTCCTTATTGTCTCTCTTGGAAATGAGCAATATGTGCAATTGCATTTAGAGATGTATTTTTATTGCTTACAGCCATTGGGCAAAACCAGGCAGAAACGTTTGCTTAATAAAATAAGAACACAACCTCTTGGAAAAGTGTGTTAGCTTGGCTGCTTTTGTGGGATGTTGCCAAGCTGCATTTGAGAAGCAGTAACTGGCTGGCAGGTTCGCTGGCAGGTTCACTGGCAGACAACAAAATGGGAGGGATTTTGAGCAGCATTTGGGTAGTCCTCCTAAAACCATCTAGATATTTTAATCTTAAGTTTAACCATGTGAGGGAGGAGTAGAGGGGAAGATGAGAGAATACCACAACTCAACAGTATGTCTTGCAGAAATATGTTATAGCCTTTAAAACAGCTTTCTCATTACAGCATCAATTCAAATCATGTAGGTGATAAGGAACCCAAGGTCCTCCATCTTTACTGGTGCTACAATAAAAAGCTCTTTTAATATTACACAATCTAGTTTCTAAATGGAAGAGTTATTATTACACTTGTCTCTGGTGGAAGCCTGCAAAGCACCTAATACCATTCTGTTATTTCATATACTCTCATAGCAACCAGAGAAAACAGCCCCTCAGAGAGCCCAGGGGTGTGTGTTTCTAGTGCCAGCAGACACCTGTTTTGTTTGCCAGGACATTTGTTCTTGAAATCAAAGCCAAACACTCTAAATTCAGTCCCTGGGGTGCTATATTCAGTTCATGCTTCACCAAGTCTGTGCTGAGTTTTGCAGAAAGAAGAGTAGCTATGCAGTATCTCTTAGCAGACAATAGCATTTGGTCCCAACATAGTGATATGCCAACAAGGGCAACAACAGACTTCTACTAAAATGCCCTGTAGTTTGCATATGCATGAGATGACATGAACTCTATATTTGCATATCTGAGATGCAGTGAAGGGATGTCTCCAATTAAAGAGTCTCACCTTCTGAGAAAACTTGCCCTAGCATGTTCTGTGCTGAGTGCTGTGGTTATAGGATGGGTAAACACCTGTCCCACCCTCATTGCAGATTTCCACTTCTAGTTGGTTGGAAGGATGATAATGCTGCTTGAAATTTTTTCATCAAAGAACTTAATGAAACATGACGTTTAAATTCTTTTCCTAAGGAAGAAATTCCTGTGAAGTCAAATTCTGAGAACATCTGCACATGAAAGACACGTTGAGGAAAAATTAAAACCCCAGATTTGTTCACAATCTTTGTTCTTCAAAAGCTTTGCTCTTCCACAAGCTTTTGCAAGAAAATGCTTATTTCTTACGGGGCTATGACACAGTCTGTCTTACATGTTCTACTTTTACATTATTATATTGGAGGTAAAGTCTCTTTTACAAGGTGTGCCAGAGCAGTGGCATGGTAGTTGTTAGGGTGGCCCAGTAGTATGGCAGAGTACTTACTCATTTAGCCTCAGGGGCAGACTTCAGTGCTGGAGCCTCCAGTCTTGCAAAGTACTTGACCAGGTTTTCACCATGCATCTATGTAACAGAACACTTCTGCATGAACATATAAAAGCTAAATGAAACTACATTGCTATACAGGATGAATTTCTTGTTATGTAGAACAATGCTTCAATGAACTAGACTCTTAGGATTCCAGAACCAGGATTTAATGTTTGGTCTGTCTGTGGTGGGAGCCAGCACTTGTGCATACAGAATGAAAATATTACCATGGTTTGTTATGAGCTGTACTGTGGATTTTGGCAATTATTTACTGAGCATGGCTGTATACCTGCTGCATGGCATAATGGCTTAAGAACCAGAACTTGATTCTGTTTGGCTTGGTTTTGTGAGGAAAAGTGGCATCACTTCAATACAGTGTAAGATGGATGTATTTGTTCTTAGGATGGAGCTTCTGCAATTTTCCTGGCAGCACAAGGAGGCTATCTGGATGTCATCCGGTTGCTACTCTCTTCAGGAGCAAAGGTTAACCAGCCACGGCAGGTAAGCTCAATACTTGAGGGCAGAACTGGGATCTGATTTTTTACAGTTATGAAAAATTAACACTGGAATTTTCTCCAGGCATCAGATTCCCATGGAAGTATTTCACTGGAAGGCAGATTGTGGGGTTTCAGAAGAATGGCGTAAAAGGGGAGAATCACCTCCTCTCGACCTGTTGATCACACTTCTTTTCATGCAGCCCTAATGCTGCAAAAATGTACAACCAGTGGTAACCATAAGCATGAAATTAGCTCCTCTGCAGGCTGTGGAGCTGCTGTTTGATCATTAAATGATCAAACATTGATCATTTGAGTTAGATTTGTGGCTGGTTTAGAGGTCCCTGCTAGGGAGCTAAAGCTTAGATCCACCCTCCACCACTGTATGCTGGTGTTAGGTGAGGGTGCAAGAGACTTCCTAGGTGTCAAACTACTTATGGGATACACAGCATATGTGGTGTACAGATAAAAATAAAAGCTCTCTTGGTTTCCAAAAAAGGGTTCCTTAATTGTTCAGCTGTTTCTTGACTCTAAAATTGGTGCTTAAATGGTACATTTAATATGCTGCTTTGAGTTGCCAGATGTGGGTATTGCACAGCTAGCTTTACTCCCAACACATAGAAATGTCTGGTTAAAGACAGGGCTTCCCAGGAATCTTTGTCTACTTTAATGAAGTCTCCCGTGTGGTCTGCTGAAACCCTGCAGGCAAGGTTGCTGTCCTGGGTCTTCACTGCACATTTTAAATTGATGGGATAAGGTCTTGTCCTTGCAATCAGTCACATATGTCTGCCAGGTGGCTGTGATCACTGACTTGCAGCAACTAAAAAATCATCAGGCGAGAGCAAACGAATGTGAAAACTCTAATAACAGTGGACAGCATGGCATGTGACAAGCTTTGTCAGGCATTTTCAGTATTTCCTTTCACCTAACAAATCATAGCCTGGCAGCAGTGACTGATCTATATGACTTATACTGCACCTGTAGGTCTGTGTGGCCTACTTGCTGCTCTGTAGTGTAAGGAAACTAGATTAGCATTTTATGTGTTCAAACTAAAGTAATTTTCCTGCTGCCCCCTCCTGCACCTCTCCAGCACTGGAATTGTGCTGGCAGCTACTCCCTGGACTGATGCTTTAGCTGCTCCTAGGCTTCCTCCACACTGTCTCCCAAGATCAAGATTAAAAAATGTTAAAAACTGTTAATTCACACAGTCTAAAAGATCAGTGTAGTAGGATAGGTGTGCATTAATGCCTTTTGAGCTGGTCAAAAGAAAGTTGGGGCACCTTAGATTTAGCTGAACCATGTTGCCATAAAAACTGCATCCTGCTAACCATAACACACCAGCTAATTCTTCTGACAATATTTTTTTAGTTCTCTAATCCAGTTCCTACAACAGAACGTTTCATGAGGCATTTTTAAATCTTAGTTGAGGCAAAGACTTGACTCTGTGTGAATGTGCCTCCTGGCTGTTTCATCTCTGGCAAGATGGGCTTACTGTGCTTCAGGGTACCTCTGATCCCTGCTAAGATTATGCCTGGATAAGTCTGTGGCATTTGTATTTGGACCCACTGTAATCTGAAACATTTCCTTAACAAATGGAACATTTTTACTGTTTAATTAGTAAAGTAATGGTTGGATAGACTTCAGTCTCTCACCAACAAACAAATTTGTACTTTGTTCGAAGGTGGCATGCTGGTCATGAGGAACGTAGCTCTAGATGGAGCAGTTTTGATGCCAGATGGCTCTTACTGTCAGTTACAAGCTACATTGCCCTCGCTGCTGTAGGAAACTCTTCTAAGCAACATAACATTGAATACAGGGCTGCAGAGTGCCAGGTGTGAGTTCATGCTTCTTCCTCATGGTGTCCAAGTTTTCCTCTCTACTTTCTGAATCTGGGGGCTTAATTCATGTGCCTGAGTGCTTGCATTTGTCCTGTATGTCTCCTCCTGCTGCTGTAGCGGGTACCAGTTCCTCTTCAGGCTCATGTCCCATCTCCCCATGTCACGGGGGCGCTCATGACACCACAGAGCATCTCGGATGACATTGGCTATCTGTGTGCAGGCCCTCCAGCTCAGCCGACTTAGTAGTGAAGCTTCCTGGCAAGTTTCTTTCCTGACAATGTATTTTCTCTGGGATTTTAGCTGCTTTCTGTTCTTCTTAACATTGCAGAGCCGGGTAGGAATTCTTTTGTCATCTTTTTGTCTAGACAGAGCTTGGGGCAGTGTCTGAAGCCTGGTGCAAGAGGTGTTACTTTACTTCTTCAACTCAAAGCGAGAAGATTATCTGCCAATGATTTTTACACTGTTTTGGCAGCCTGTGTCCCAGCAGCCTCTAGTCTGACTGGGTAAGCAGGTTTCAAATACTCTGAAAATTAATTATATAAGCCAGTAAATGCATAGAGAGTATAGACTTCAGGCAAACAAGCAATTTGCTATTAGCAAGAACTGAAATGATGTAGTGGTGTGAGAAGACTGATGGGCAGAACAGCGGAGGAGATGATGCTGAGTAGCCTGAGAGTAGGGGCTCTCTGTACCTGAAAGTCCTTACTGGGAATTTGAGGGGTATTTTACTTCTCACCCTAGTCTGGCCCTTTCTAAAACTCCAAGCCACAAGCAAACATTGAGATTCAAAGCTGCAAGGCAAAGTCATTAGCTAACGGATAAGATAAAGAGCATTGGAAATTTTGGTTAGAGTATGTTTGGAACCGCTGGCTGCTGGATATAATGAGAGGTAGTCCATATATTCCAGCTTGTAATAAATACAGAAATAAGCACAGCTTAAAAACATATGGGGTGTTTAACACTGTTCTAGGAATGTAGTGGTTTGCCGTCTGCTGGGTGGGCAGAGGGACAAGGAAAAGAAAACAGTTTTTGAACTGTATCTTTCTCTATTCTCACTTTCTTTCTGACTTGTCTCTAAGCCCTAATGTCTGTTTACACAGGAATTCTCAGGTGACCTTTTAGTACAATGCACTGTTTTGCACCATATAGCATATGCACCATATAGCAACATGAAAATGGACAGAAAATTCATTCACTCCATATAAATTTTATATTCATTTACATAAATCTGCATATTAGATGCTATTTGCTTAAGAGAGAAAAGCTGACAATGGTCAGTATGAGCACACCATCCACTTCATCATCATTCTTCTCTTCAGGCTAAATCCTCCAAGACACTCATCCTTTCTCACAATGTCTTTTTGCCTCTAGCATATAACTGAGATACTGAGGTTGATGTTACCCAACGCTTCTGTTCCTTTTCATTTATACCTGGAAATAGAAGTTGTTCTTACAAACGTCACTGTGAGAAAAATAAAGCTGCTACGTTCTGCGTGCTGTGCTTGTGCTTGCATTTCTTGTATAAACAGAAGTGTGGATTTGCACAGCATCTTCTTTATGCGGATTCAATTGTGTGGGCAAATTCAACTGCTCTCTTTTCCAAGTTTTATAGGCTTTTTCAGTGCCCCTATTGCGATTTACTAGAGCCCTCTGGTGGGGGGAGACTAGAAAAATATGAAGTATGGCAGGGAAAAAGCTGTAAACTGGAGAGGGACAGTTTTTGCCATCACACTAACATCACATACACTGTATACAAGAGAGCCTTTGTTATTTTAGAATCAGAAAGAACACTCATTGTATTAACAGGATACGTACTAGAATGAGGTCAGTCACTAATTTAAATTAATTAATCTATAGAGAAATGATAAAAGAGTGGGCAAAGATTCTGTTCCTTACCATTTGAGAAGACTGAAGATCTCAGAAGGTGCATTTGCTCTTTCACGGAATCAGAAATAGGGAAACTCAGAATATCATACCAAAGAAAGAAATAACTTTTCTGTTTCTTTGAAAGGATTAAGTCACTAGCCCATAGAAAGCAGAGAATTTATGCAACAGTGGTTTTTTTGGACTGCATGGGCAAGTCATATGAATCTTCAGCTGGCACTAAGGAGAGATTTCTTCTTTAATTAAGGTAGAAATACCTTATTTAAAGTAAAAAGTTGTTTTCTCCTGAAACTTCTCATTAAGATTCTTTTGGAAGCCCCAGTATAATTTGTCTTCCTTTTTCCTGCCAAGTCTTCAGGCTGCTGTGGGTGGTGAATGGAACTGGCAACTGCTGAAGGCAGTAGTGCTGAAGGCACCCTGCTACACTTCACTTTTATGTTAAAGTCCATACAGGAAAAGCCTTTTGTTAAGGGCCCACAAGAATCAGTTTGGCACCACATAACTGCTGGAGTCCTGTAGTCTGGAGAATCAGGCCATTTAGAAGCAAAAGGAGGAAAAGACACAAAACTAAATTCTAATTGAAGTGAGGAAGACTTCTAGCACTTCAATTCACCTTTGCCTTTGGGATGAAAATCAATCACAAAGTCTAGCTTATTCTGAATGTGCATATTATTTTCTGAAGTTTTCTGCTCAAGTAATGATTGCACAGGACAATTTTTCCAAAACAGATTATTTGAGGTTGGATTCCTTGATAATTTTCTTGTTTTCTAGTGGAGTTGTTGAACATAAAATTTGTGAAACACTCACCACCAGTGTAAGGCAGGGTGTTTTTAACAGATTCCCTGAGGATGGGTAACGTAATTTAATGCTGAAAGCTAGTGATCATCTTGCATTGCTCCTTAACTTCTATAAACAACCTCTACTCCACATGTACAGAGACCCAGCTGCAGAATCTCCACATGCATGCTGATATTTGCCTGTTACCTTCTGTCACATCTAGCCACCTAGAGTTCAAAGTACACTTTGGCCTTTACATTTCAGACTTCCATATGTATTTGAGATACAGCTGTTAAGACAAAGTGACTTTTAATTGTTCAGACAGTAATGTATGTTTGAGGCCAACTATGTAAGAGAAAGCAGCTAAGGATGGCTCTACTCCACAACTAGAGCAGTTTTGTTTCGACTTGTTACACCAAGCTCCCATGTGCTTCTGGAAACAAATCTGCGTATCTCTTTCTGTGATGAGGGATTTCATTGGGGTTGAAGTACATCCAATCCAATAGTCAGACTTGGGTGGTAATATACCATGGAGCACAGGATCTCAAGGTGAAACCATTAGCAGTCTTACTCTGTTTGCAGGATGGGACAGCTCCCTTGTGGATTGCATCGCAGATGGGTCACAGTGAAGTAGTACGAGTAATGCTGCTTCGTGGAGCTGATCGAGATGCCGCCCGGGATGTGAGTAGACTTCTTCCTGTGCTCTGTCTGCAGTTTAACACCTCCTAGATTTTTCTGGGGCTGCAAGTCTGCCTGGTGTCCCAGAGTCTGTCCTGTTTGCCATGATGTAAAGTCCCAACATGGGCTCCCTTTCTCCTGTTGTGGCTGGGACAGCTTCCTGGAGGGACCTTCTGGAATAAAGGAATGGAAATGTCTGTATAAAGATGATCTATGGTGTCACTGGTTCATTTTACCCCAAAGTTTTCACCTACCAAAGCAACAATCCTCCTGATGCTCTAAAACCACAGCATATGCTGTGGAGTTGTCTCCTCAAAAGCTTTGAGCAGAGAAGACCCCCTTCTCAGAGGTGTGGGGGAAAGCTGGTGTTTCCCTCTAGCCAAGGGGAATGCAGGTAAAGCATTGTTAACAACTGGACTGACCTTCGTGTCTCCTTCCAAGGATGGTACGACTGCTTTACTGAAGGCTGCCATTAAGGGGTACAATAATGTGATAGAAGAGTTGCTGAAATTCTCTCCCACTCTTGGCCTGCTGAAGGTTAGTAGTGAAACACGTGGATTTTTAGATAGGAACTCAGGAATGAGTTTCTGATAAAAGATCTGACGTTTATGACTATGACAGAGGAAGATTACAAGGAGCTTGAGCCCAAAAAGAAATCAAGAGAAAAATTAAATTATCTTACTTAGCCTTTAATGCCACACACAAATTAATCTTTTTAAACAAAATTGTGAGTTTGAATAAAGCAGAATAAAGAAGCTTAGGAGTCATAGAAGGAATTTTCCTGCTTTTCATTATTTGATTTTATTCTTACTGTTTATGGATTGCTCTTAATAGTGCAGTTCTTAGCACTGTATGTGGCCTTCTATTGCATTTTGTCAGCAAAATAGTATCCTAAGAGATCTGTTGTGAGCAGATTCTCTATTTGTCTTTGTTTTCATCTGAAGTCAGAAAGTGACTTGAAAAATAACACATTTGGAAGCTACTTTTTAATAGCTTATCTAGTTATATTTATCTATAAATCACATACTTTGATAGCCTCTGTGCATGCAGCATTGGCAATTTTGATGTGCTTGAAAATCCAGGTGGCATTAACTTAGTTGTTAATTAGAAGTATGAAATAGCTTCCACACTTATTTGAACTGTCAATTTGCAGCCACAGACAAAAGGCCAGCCATAAAAAAAAGTCCCCATTCAGCTGTCTGACACTGAGACCATTAATCATCAGAGAAAGAAGATAAAATGCACAGATGGTTTCCATTACTGCTTGCACTTCTGTTTCACTTGCTAATGGCTGGTTTTGCCAGGCAGAAGCAAGTGCTGTGTCCATTTCACCTCTTATCAATTGACAAGGGTAATTTTTAAAAGGAAATACTGCTGTGGTGAAGTGAATTTGACTCTCATTTTTATTAAAGCATTTAAAATCACCTCCTTCATAGCCTGCTAGCCTACCAGCACCATGTCTGAATCAGACACTATACTTCTAATGACCTAGTTTATCCCGTGTTACTTCTTTCTTGTTCATAGGTTTGTTGTTTGCGAACATCTGTGTTTCACTGCCTTTTGTTTTCTTCCCACGCACGGTACAAACATTTCCATTGGTATTTTCTAGAACGGGACCTCTGCTCTCCATGCAGCCGTCCTGAGTGGCAACGTGAGGACAGTGGCACTGCTCCTTGAAGCAGGAGCAGACCCGTGCCTGAGGAACAAGGTACGTTCTGGCACACTCTCCTGGGCAAGGAGCAGTTGGGAAGCACTGAGCGGTGGAGCCATGTGTGCCATGGAGGCAGCGGCAGCCCACGTTTCTGTGTTAGTCCACAGTTGCCTCCTGTTCCTCTCCTGAAGCATCACCGTTCAGTCCATTCATTGCTGTATACAGGCATCTATAAGGGTGCTGGGCAGTGCCACTGGTGATGCTGGTTCTTGTGAAGTAACATCAATCTAAGGATATGTAAACCATGCACTCACTCACTCAAGCACCACAAATTGTTAACTATAACTACTCATGGGCTAGCTAGGTTGCATTTCAGGGGAAAAAACCCCATACGTTATGTTTTCATAAGTCATAAGTTACACCATACCTCCCTATGGTCGTGTAAGAATGATATTTCTGCAGCAAAAGAAATGTGTATCTGGGTGCCTCTAATAAGAAAACTTGGTTAGAATTCAGGACATCGCTAATACAAAGAAATCCTGCGTTACATGTACCTTTACCATACCTTACTGTAAATTTGTTAGTTTAGTGAAATACTTTCATATTCTTTTTGTAACAATAACTTTTCTGCAGAAAAAAAATGGTCTTTTCATATTCTTTTTGTAACAATAACTTTTCTGCAGAAAAAAAATGGTCTTTGTTTTTGCCTGTAAAGTATTTTAACATTACATGTTTGCTAATTTCCATGAAAATGTCTTCCTCTGACTTGTGTTTATAAACTATTTGTCTCTAGTATTGGAGATCTAGCTGGGTTTGCTAAGCTGTGCATGGGTGGTCAGGTATTTACTTCTTGTTTATGACTGGGTGAATGACAGTTCGTAATACAAGTAACCCAGCACGTACCTTCTGAATGTTTTGGTCATTTAATATAAAAACTGTGCCTGTTATTTCTTTATCATTCCACTTGATGGCAGCAAAGTTAACGACTCTCATACAGTAGTTCCTATTAACAGGCATTTTGATTTGCCCCTATCATCCGAACAACACGCAAGATTTTTCTGCTACTGATGGTGATTTGCAGCAGAAGGGTGTGCAGTATGAGAAAGTCTATGGCTGTAATCTCTCCTACTGATTTTTTTTTTTGTTAATCACATGAAATTTGGCACAAGAGAGTACATTTGCAGGACAGAATTCCTGATTTTCAGAAGTAGCTTCATTACAAAGACAGTTTGTTACCAAATTTGTATTCAATATACACAGACGACCGAACTCTGATGTTCTATTACCAATCCTACAGAATAGCACGAATTATTTCATAGCAATTAAAGTATTCTCTCAGATCTTTATGGACTTTTTTTTTTGGACTTTGGTACTTAAAGACCTGCCTCATCTCCCCCCCAGAAATCAGTACTTTTGTGGCAGAAGCATAGGGATACCATTTAACCTGGACAGTGAGCACAAAATAAGATGACCACTTCGAACCCACACTGGGACTATTTTTAAGACTTAAGTGGGAATTGCATGCTGAAAGGTGATTTCTTAAGGTATCTCCACCAGTGGTGGGACAACATTGGAATAGACCCATCATTATAATGCCCAGTAGCATCTTCTCTAAAGTTGAATGTTTTTAAACCATGTTTTGGAAATAATTGTTCATTTCTGCTAACCCAAGGGTTTTTTCATTCCAGGCAAATGAACTTCCAGAAGAACTAACGAAAAATGAACGAATCCTTCGACTCCTCCGCATGAAAGAAAAGCAAGGGAAAAGCTAATGCAGCCCTGTAGCAAATATGGTTTGACAGAGATGCCCCCTGACCACAGCAGCATGACTGTAAACCTAGGTTGCCCCAGAAGGGCTTGTTGGAACAGTTTGCAGAACTGATTAGCCTCTCCAGTACACTCTCCCTGAATGCATGAGGCCCTTGCCATGGGGTCACCATGGGCTAGGACCTCTTCCTGGCATTACTGAACACAGGACTGCAATGAGAGGAGGGGTTGGCCTGGGAGCTGCCTTTGCACTGCAGCCCCATGGTGCTGCTGCCCTCCCTTTGCTGACAGTGCTAGCTCAGACCATTCCTCTCTACTTCCAAGTGCCACATGGGGCTAGAGGTGAGATCCCACCTGTGACATCCCAACAGAAAAAGTCCTCCTGCCAGCCCAGTTCTTTGATAACATTTTGGCTACTACATGAAGCTCCATGAAAGACGATTCAGAGAGTTACAAATGATGCCAAAAGCTACCAACCAAACAATAAGCAAGGAGATGTCCTCCTCAGTTGTAGCACCTCGATCTGTCAATCTGTCCAGCAACAGGAACACAGCAGAGCAGCTGATAGCATTTTGCAATGTGTGCACAGTGCTATGGGGATCCATCCCTAACCCTGCTGTCTACATACATGGATAGGGGAGGACCAGTTACTGGGCAAACCAACCAGGACATATCATTCACTGGTGCAAGTCCATCAGAAATTCAACTGTTGGGCACAACAGCACAGATGTTGTACAAGTGGTAGGTATATACGTATGTTCTGCATGTGCATATATATGTGACACTATGGTTTACTACCCACAGCTACTATGCAATGCACTTGTTCCCCAGGTCTGTGAAAGGAGTTAAGGGAGAAGCTCACAGTGTACAGATCTTTTAATAAGAGGGCTACATGTAGCCACATGCAAACAGGATCACTAACTGATGCAGGCATGGAAAATGAACTCTCAACAGCAGTTTTAGCTTTTGTTGTGGTTGGGACACTTGGACACGCTACCAGTGCCTGTGTGGGGACTGCAGTGCAAATTGTGAGGGTTTGTGAAGAGCTATGTTTGAAACATGCTGATGAAAGATACCCCATTAAACCCCAGTCATTTTTGTAGTATAAATAGTATATACTACATCTTGTTAGCCAAAAATAAAATAAAAAATAGAGTTTATTTTACAGTGAGTTGAGATATAAAATTAGCTCAGTACATAAATCCAGGCACTTCAGCTGCCTTCAAAACTTGACAAACTACTGCAAAATTGCTTTAAAAGCTAAAGACAGGGAAGACTGCAAAGAAACCAAATATTCCCTGATTAAGAGACATCTGCCTAGGATTCAGCTGAACTGTTGCACTTTTGCTTCAGTGAGTTAAAAAAAACCCAAAACAACAAAACCACATTATTTTAGTGAGCCATCACAAAGTAATGTAATTTACTCAGTGCAAATTAGCCATATGTCTTACCAATCCTAAAGTTATTGTTTTTGTAAATTAGGTAAGAAGTCATGATTCTGTTGAAGAGAACAGAAGTGGGCGTACCTTTGCTTGCAAGCTGAAATTGCTGTTCAATTTCTATTCAGCATTAGAAAGGAAAGCTTTAACTTTTCCAGCTATATAAGAAGACACCAGAGAAATCTATTTGTTTAGGTAATTCATGCTGCTGTATTTTTAAATTAAAATAATGTTGTGCCTAACAGAAACTTGCAGACTAACTGGTACAGAACCAAAGAATTATGCAAGATGCTTTGAGCATGACTGTATCCAGGGGTAAGTTCTGCAAAAGACTAAAAAATACTGTATATGCAGCAATCTCAAGAGCCTTATTGGGAACTTAAATTCCACAAGCATTACATGGGACTGGACTCCAACTTCTTTAATAAGCAACACTGGAGAGGATAGTTTTATTCAGAGCCCCCACTGGGCTGAAGATGAACATACTGTTTTGGGGAATGCTAGAGGGACTCTAGGCAGCCCAGCCTCAATATTGACCTTTCTCCCTAAACTTTCCTCAGATCAACACCTGGGGACAACCACACTCTTATGGTGAAAAGCCCTTTCACAGTTGTAAAGGAGGAGGGTGATCATCAGGTGGTCTTCAGTAGTCATACTGGGTGAGCAATATATACTCTAAATATCAGACAGGTTGTAATGAACAAACAGTCTTGCTAAAAAATGTGGAAGCATCCACTGTTGGTGAGGGCCTCCTACTTTTTTCTGATAGCAGAGCATACAAATGAGGACAGTGCAAGCCAACAGTGGTCCTGTGACAGCTGGAGTAAGCAAGCTGAGACAACATGCAGGTAGGTGTTCAGTATCTGCAGGTAGCCTCTCCTTCCTTCCAGATGTATTTCCTTGTGAGAGTGGTATCACCCCAAAGGGGGCAGCTACTCAGCAAAGAGCTTCTTCTGGAATTATGCCTGTTCATGGGAAGATGCACGCCTGCTCCCCACCATTTAGAGTAGGACTTTCAAAGTTGTGTGTCCAGCTGCCTCTGTGACTGGCCACCACAGCCAGGGCTGTCATGCACCATAAGAAGAATGGGGTGCTATGTCCAGCACAGAGCATCTTCTGACCACCTTCTGAGAGGGTGCAGTTACCAGGTCCTCTTCTGACAAGTGATACTGGGCTATAACTGACTTTTCTTATTTCTAAACAAAATTCGGGTTTTGTGGGGCTGGCACTGGTTGAAGGGATAGGCTTGTAGCTCCCTCCTTGCTCTCACTAGTGTTGGCTGATCTGCATACGAGCTCTGTGTAGCGAGCTCCATGGTAGAGAAATGGCAGCAAAGACTTTCTCTGCCCCATCCAGGCTGAAGTTGAATCTAACTTCAGCAAAGATACTATTCAGCCAACACGGGACTTTTAGGCATGGAAACCTTCCCACTGAGAGCATGTTTCATCTCTGCCTTTCAGATAGTAGGTTGCTAAAAGTTTTGGGTTCCCTGTAACAAAAAGGTGCTTATTCTGCCTGTAGATGGGCCTGAGAGATGCAGTACTGTTTCTCACCATGCAATTGACCTTTTCACAGAGAAACCTTAATAATTCTTAGTGTTCGTGTAGCTGCTGTTATCTTTAAAGTGCTCAGTAAATATTGCTGTGGTTTGTTTGTTGTTCTAAAACGGAAACCTACTTTCCCTTTGTGGCTGAAGTGATTCACTAATATTGACAGTAGCTCTTTGCATAGTTGTTGTGCCTTTTGTGCAAGGCTTTCAAAGTGCTCTGCAGACACTATTACCTTTGTAAGTTCCAAAATGCACTGCTGGGGGAGGCAGCAAAATAGATTATTTCACTCACACACCAGTGAAATGCAGCAGCTGTTTATCAGTTCATGTCAACAGACGAGTAAATTTAGACTAGAAATTAAGGAGCATTAAACCCATTTCACAGATGGCAGGATGGAGCTTGGTACCACATAATAATATGAAATAGAACTGTGACCAGCCCAAATTGTTTTTTTGGGTTGGGTCCTGGTGTTTCATTCCCCCCAAAAGTGCTGTATATATATATCCATCTTACAACCCCCCAGAAATCAGCTCCACTAGCATACTGCTTTTAGGATTGCCTCTCTGCACATTAGGATCCATGAGCCCAGTGTGCTGGGATTTATGCAGGTGCTACAGCCTGGTGACTTTCCGTCAGCTGCAAGTGAGCACAAAGGATGTGCCATCAAGAACAGGCTACACAAATGAATCAAGGAAAGGCATAGGGCATCTTTCTTTAATTTCACTAGTATTAAGCCATTGTAGAGTGGGAATGAGCACAAGGGAAGGCCCATGTTGTATAGAGAGAAGTAGCATCCCAACAGTGACATGGTCACGGCATAGCCTCAGACGTCCTAAATACAGGGACCTCTTCATTTAAGATGATCACTGCAGTGCACTGTGCAGGGACATCTATTTAGTAATGATACAAAAGGAGTGTTGTACCTCCTGACTTGCACATGCTGTTGTCTTGGAGCAAAACCATGTCACTATTGATCCACCCACCTTTGTTTAGTTTAGAAGAGCTAAGAGGATTAGAGCACCAGATCAAACAGCTGCAGGTCATATTTAATGCACTTGTAACAATGAGAGTTATTTGCCTCAGAGTTGTAGCCTAATTGCAAGAATATTTCATGCTTCTTTATTCAGACAGTCATGGTGACTAGTGGGAAATCTGCAAGTAAACCAAATCTCATGTTGTCTCAGAAATTTCAGAATTGGTGTACAGAAAATGAGGTAGCACAAACCCCAGCCCATTTAAACTTCACTTAAATTGAACACTGAACAGACAAAATACTACCTTTGTCTGGACCCCTTGAGTCAGCGGTGTTAAAATGTTAATGCTTACTACGAGTCCAACCAAAGATTATACACAAGGCTCTGTTTTTCAGAACCAGAATATTGTGGTGCACACACAGGACTAAATGGAGTTGTGCCTTCTTACAGTGGCTCTGCACTTGGTCCTGGGAATATCACAGTAGTTTCACAGTTTTCTGAATTCCACAGTTTGTTTTGACATGCCATTTTATGCATTTATGAAACTTATATAAATTTGTGTAACTCCATGTAAGACTAACAACAGAGATGTTGTTGCTTTGCTAAAACACTTTTTTCCATACCATCACTTCAATAAAACTTACTATACTACTCAGATTATCCTGTCTGCATACTTCAATGTTTCTTTCCTTTCTTCTGTATCCTACTCTTTCTCTGTGTAGAATACCAGAATTAATTTCCTGTTTAAGTAAAGACCACTTTGTTCTATCCCACTTGATTGATTAGACTTCTATTATTTTCCAGGTCTTTACAGATGAGATAGCATTCACAGAACAAATAAAGCCAACGTCCTGGCTTCAGAAACAGGGAAACTTAATTTAGCATGATATAATGAGGTTTGTTTCAAAGATCCAGACATCACTGACAGACTCCCCTTGACATTAACATCTGTTAGGTCAGATCTGAAGGGAAGGTTATAAAAAGCAACCTAGGAACCAAGACTATATTTCCATTTATTTTGTCAAACATGTCTTTGTGCTTCTGTTACTATTGCTAAATCTAAAACTGGCCCTTACACTGATCTGACCTATTTCAGTTAAAAAAAAAAAGTCAATAGCCTCCTGATATCCTTATTATGTTATGCTGTGGATTATGTGTGCTGTAAAAGGGGAAAAGAGTCTACACTGAAAGCCACATTTTTGATCTTGTGTTTGACATCCCAGGCTTTTTGCCTTATTCCTACAATTTCCTATTGTGATGAGCTACATTTTGAATCACTGTCAAAAATTCCTACAGTCACAACTCCTCCATCTGCACCTCCATCTATTCAGAGAATGTAAAGAGAAAGTGCCGTAACTTGTTCATGGCTTAAATCACTATGAAGGATTATTTCTGGTAGCAGGAAACTTAAATTTGCACATGAAAGCGTAACAGAACAGTGTCAAGAAGCTGAAACTAGACAAATTCA